AACTCAAACGGTCATCTTCAGGTGTGTTGGTTTGCATAAATGTATTTTTAAACGGCGCATTTATTTATTTATAAAAAAACGTTAGCGTCACGCGCAGCGATTTGGCAGTTTGCCCAGGACTAGTCCATCTATATTTTGAAAAGAGGAGGGGGGAGACGAAATTTTTTATAATGTATGCTGTCTGAAAGCCACTGTAAGCGTGAACAATCAATTAAGAACTGAAATGGTTTATCAAATCTTTCCAATGATTGCTAAGATAGAATCCATCTTCTCGGTTGGAATTGTCTCTGTGCTTGTATATGTGGATAGCCTCATGAACGAATCTCTCATGGAAGCCAGATGGCTTACAAAGAACCTCTGTCTTGGAAAAGTCAATGGCATGTGAGCCTACTGAATTAGAACAATGATCTGCTACGGCCGAGGTGTTGGTCCTACCGTGTTTAAGGTGTGCTTTGTGTTCACGAATGCGGTCCGAGACATGGCGTTTGGTTTCTCCAATGTAACTGCTACCACAGAGGCAACTTAGTTTGTAGACACCAGGGTATTGTATGTCCGGAATCACATCTTTTACAGACGGAACCAGATCACGGATTTTATGTAATGTGTTGAAACGGACCTGGATCTTGTGTTTATTCAAGATTTTGGAGATCTTTTTTGTGATCCCAGCAATGTAGGGTAAAGTGATGGTTTTGAAAGGCTCCTCAAGAGGGTTCTTCTTCATGGTTTGAGTGATAGCTTTGCGGATTGTATAGTCGGAGTAACCATTAGCCCTAAGAGCTTGGTGTACGTGCTTGAGTTCACTGCTTATGTGTTCCTGGTCGGATATGCATTGGGCTCTATGATACATAGATGGCAAGATACCTTTTTTGGATGTCCTAATTAAAAAGAGACCTGATGGTTCAATGAGCCACTCTGTCTACAGGAAAGCTACCCATACGGATGCTTATCTGAAACCGGATTCCCACCACCATCCATCACAGAAGAATTCTCTCATCAAGACTCTGTATACAAACTAAGTTGCCTCTGTGGTAGTAGTTACATTGGAGAAACCAAACGCCATGTCTCGGACCGCATTCGTGAACACAAAGCAGACCTTAAACACGGTAGGACCAACACCTCGGCCGTAGCAGATCATTGTTCTAATTCAGTAGGCTCACATGCCATTGACTTTTCCAAGACAGAGGTTCATTGTAAGCCATCTGGCTTCCATGAGAGATTCGTTCATGAGGCTATCCACATATACAAGCACAGAGACAATTTCAACCGAGAAGATGGATTCTATCTTAGCAATCATTGGAAAGATTTGATAAACCATTTCAGTTCTTAATTGATTGTTCACGCTTACAGTGGCTTTCAGACAGCATACATTATAAAAAAATTTCGTCTCCCCCCTCCTCTTTTCAAAATATAGATGGACTAGTCCTGGGCAAACTGCCAAATCGCTGCGCGTGACGCTAACGTTTTTTATAAATAAATAAATGCGCCGTTTAAAAATAAATTTATGCAAACCAACACACCTGAAGATGACCGTTTGAGTTATGGTCGAAACGTCGTGAGAATTTTTATTGTTTTATATATATTATATTATTTTGTTGTTACTCTTCAACGTGACTTTACCGAAAAAACTAAGAATATGAATTACTGCAGTCACGAAAGCTTTAAATCAAAATTTAATCGCCTCTACGGGGAGGGTTTTCACATAACTTTAAGATCCTTCAACAAACTCCGGGATAAGAAAGCTCAGCTGATCGAGTCTCTCACCTTCCTGAAGAGATGCCGCGACTCTGGGGTAATACCAATCGCATTTACACTGACCTCTTCTGCTGTAACTTCTTCTAATGCGAAACGAATTCTTTTCAAAACTAGCTTAGCTCTTATCTCAGAAAAAATCAGACTTATACGCACAGAACTAGATCAGTTAGACAAGACACTCTACAAATCACACTTATCATTGACGGCAATAATGTCCACATCGGATTGGGAACATGTAGACAATATGACTGCCTCTTCAGCTGCTACTATGTCGACCAAATGTAAGGAAAACCTGATTTCCAAATTTAACCTCCTCTTCAACAAAAGACCGGACCCACACACCAAAAAGTTAGACGTTAATAAAGTCATAATTAATCGCAGTAACAGTTCTATTTCCGATGGTCTGAAATCCGTTTTAGCTAAAGGTCTAAACTTTGCAGTCACACCAAAACACATACCAGTTAATGATATAATTGCCCAAGTAGACGTTGCTTTCAGGGGCCTGGGTCACATCGCTGCAGATGTAGCAAGATCTGAAATCGCTGCAACCCTCAAAAACGCTAAGATGCCAGCTAGCAACCTCAGCAAAGATGAGCGTTTTGAATTATATAAATTAAAAAAGAGGAATGATATTGTAGTCCTCTCAGCTGACAAAGGCAATGCTACTGTCATCATGGATAAAATAGAATACAACAACAAAATTAAAGAATTACTCGACGATGGTAGTTATACAAAAATAAAAAGAGATCCCACCAACAGCCTCGTCACACAAACCAACAAAATAATTTCTGATTCAACCGCATTAATTGATCAATCTAAACAGTTTTCGTTGAAACCTTCTGCTGCCAGGCCACCAAGATTATACGGCTTACCAAAAATACATAAAGTTGATACACCTCTTCGTCCCATAGTCTCTACTATCAGCTCCCCCACCTACAAACTAGCTCGTTTTTTGTCTGAAATCCTGCGTCCTTTCACTGGAAAGACCACCTCTGCGGTACAAAATTCTACTCACCTGGTATCGACAATCAAGGGTATTTCCCTGTCCCCAGACGACCTGCTTGTCAGTTTTGATGTAGTTTCCTTATTCACCAAGGTTCCTGTACCTGACACCATTGCAATCATTGAAGACTTGGTTCATCAAGGACTAAACACTGAGGTACCCCCCCTGGTGAGACACTGTTTAACCAATACATACTTCACTTGGAATGGAACTTTCTACAAACAAACTTAGGGCACCCCAATGGGCTCCCCCCTTTCTCCAGTAATAGCTAACATTTTCATGGAGAAATTTGAGACTGACGCCATCCAGACTGCCACTCTGCGCCCAACCTTATGGAAGAGGTACGTGGATGACACTTTTGTCATCTGGCCACATGGCCGGCCTGCTCTAGACCAATTCTCCGACCACATCAATTCCATACACCCAGCCATCAGATTTACCATGGAAGTCGAAATAGATGGCAAGATACCTTTTTTGGATGTCCTAATTAAAAAGAGACCTGATGGTTCAATGAGCCACTCTGTCTACAGGAAAGCTACCCATACGGATGCTTATCTGAAACCGGATTCCCACCACCATCCATCACAGAAGAATTCTCTCATCAAGACTCTGTATCATAGAGCCCAATGCATATCCGACCAGGAACACATAAGCAGTGAACTCAAGCACGTACACCAAGCTCTTAGGGCTAATGGTTACTCTGACTATACAATCCGCAAAGCTATCACTCAAACCATGAAGAAGAACCCTCTTGAGGAGCCTTTCAAAACCATCACTTTACCCTACATTGCTGGGATCACAAAAAAGATCTCCAAAATCTTGAACAAACACAAGATCCAGGTCCGTTTCAACACATTACATAAAATCCGTGATCTGGTTCCGTCTGTAAAAGATGTGATTCCGGACATACAATACCCTGGTGTCTACAAACTAAGTTGCCTCTGTGGTAGTAGTTACATTGGAGAAACCAAACGCCATGTCTCGGACCGCATTCGTGAACACAAAGCAGACCTTAAACACGGTAGGACCAACACCTCGGCCGTAGCAGATCATTGTTCTAATTCAGTAGGCTCACATGCCATTGACTTTTCCAAGACAGAGGTTCTTTGTAAGCCATCTGGCTTCCATGAGAGATTCGTTCATGAGGCTATCCACATATACAAGCACAGAGACAATTTCAACCGAGAAGATGGATTCTATCTTAGCAATCATTGGAAAGATTTGATAAACCATTTCAGTTCTTAATTGATTGTTCACGCTTACAGTGGCTTTCAGACAGCATACATTATAAAAAATTTCGTCTCCCCCCTCCTCTTATCAAAATATAGATGGACTAGTCCTGGGCAAACTGCCAAATCGCTGCGCGTGACGCTAACGTTTTTTTATAAATAAATAAATGCGCCGTTTAAAAATACATTTATGCAAACCAACACACCTGAAGATGACCGTTTGAGTTATGGTCGAAACGTCGTGAGAATTTTTATTGTTTTATATATATTATATTATTTTGTTGTTTCTCTTCAACGTGACTTTACCGAAAAAACTAAGAATATGGAAACTATTCTCAGGGTCGCCACTAGGATTGCCATGATATGATGGTGATAATAATAATCACCATCGCAGCTGCTACATGTATTTCCCGCGCAGTGTGCAAGACTTATGTATGTATGTGTTAGTGGAGCGTGAGTGTAGTTCGCGCACTGCACTACGAACCCGCCGACGCGAGTTCGATTCCTGCTCAAGGCCAACACCAGTGACAATTATCTGAATAGATATTGGGCCTCCCCTAGGTCGACTCAGCCTCAAATGAGTACCTGGTGCGGTGTGTAAACATCGCCACTGGGGAGACAAAGACGGTCGGGCGTGGTGCTGCCCACCCACCTCCCTTGTGTGCCGTACCAGCCTTCAGAGCTGCTCGCTAACAGCACTTGCCCCAACAGTCTGTTAAGGCTATACGGGGGATATTTGTCTTGTATGTGTGTATGAATAGGGAGTGATTGTGTGCGGTTAGCACTATGAACCCGGCAACTCGAGTTCGATTCTCGTCCACGGCCAACACCAGTGACCATTATCTGAACTGGTTATGGGCATCCCCTAGGTCGACTCAGCCTCAAATGAGTGCCTGCTGTGGTGCTGGCCACCCACCCCCTCGTTTGCCGTGCCGGCTTTCATTGGTGCTCGTTAACGGCACTTGCCCCAACAGCCTGTTAAGGCTATACTGGGGGATCTTTGTTTTTGTACGTAGAGGTGGCAAGTTTCTTCAACGCGAGCTGCGTGCCGGGCGCGGGCAATCTTCCGCCCAGCCTGTGCCAGCTGTGCATCGGGAACGAGGCGGGGGACGAGAAATGCGCAGCCTCCAACCACGAGCGATTCTTCGGCTACACTGGAGCCTTCCGGTAGGTAGCTCACATACGAAGAAAGCCTGAACAGACTGCTTGCTGGGGAAAGTGCTGTTAGCGAGCACCTAGAGGAGGCCCAGGACTGGTTCAGATAATCCTCACTGGTTTTGGCCGTGAGCGGGATTCGAACCCCGGTCGCCGGGTTCGTAGAGCAACGTGCTAAACACTACACTACAGCTGCCCACACACACGCTCACATAAGCTTACAAACACACGTTTGTCCCATCAATTCTGTTCACCTTTGTATTGTGCAGCTGTCTGGCGTCAGGATCAGGGGATGTGGCCTTTGTGAAGCACACGACTGTCACAGACAATACAGATGGTGAGTGGGCCATTGCCGCCATTGCCTTCATCATCATCATCGCCATCGTGGCCATCATCAACAGAAGTACATCCGCGTGTACTCAAATTTCAGTTGGCAAGGAATGAGTACAAATGAACTCGTCCAACGCTGCTGTGCGCGCGACGCCGCCTGCGTCACGTGTTTTAAATCAAGCTCCTCTCAACTGCCACCTCACCTCGACCTCTGTGCCCCCACCCCCCAACTGTCGCGTCTCCCCAGGTCACAACCCCGACGAGTGGGCACACGGCCTTCTCTCCACGGACTTTGAGCTGCTCTGTCCGAGTGGAAATCGTCAACCGGTCACGGGTTTCGAGTCCTGTAACCTGGCCAAGGTTCCCCCGCACGCCGTGGTCACGCGGTCCAGCTCCGATCCCCGCTGGATCTTCGACGTCCTCGACGCCGCGCAGGTGAGTTAGCACGTCGCCACATCGAGACGCCGCTGTCGCGCGATGCTGCCTACGACTTTGTCCTGATGTTCCGAGTCTAAGGTGGTGTTCCGCTCTCACATGATGCTGTACGATGCTGTATTAGACACTGTTCTTTCCATGTTATTAAATTACGTTCTGAAGGGCTTTGACCTGAGGGGCTCTCCAAATATAAAATAAGATGAGACGTGGAACATCCGTCCATGCGTCTGCGAGCAGAAGCAATTTGGCAGCGACAATGGGACGCGGTTCAAGATGTTCGACTCGAGCGGCTTCCAGGGGACCGACCTGCTCTTCAAGGACTCCACCGTCAGCCTCTTCTACCCAGAAGGCCGCCTGAGCTACAAGGAGTGGCTGGGCGGCGGCTTCCTGGAGTCCATGCAGGGCATGGACTGCAATGGCGCCAGGCCTGCAGGTGAGGGCATTCCCCACTACTGGCCTGCCATAAACTCCTGTTACGAAACAATGATGATGATGAATGTTAAACTTGTGTTGAAGCGTAAATGATGACTCGGAGGAAGATCTTCGTGGAGGGGCTCACGCCAGTTTTATTAAGGGCTTACGCCAGTTGTTTTATTAAAGACCTCTCTTCGCACACGACTCCGTGTACTGCACACTCACTGCCTACACTCCACAACCCAGGGGAAATGTACCGGGGATTCCCTAGCACCTGCAGGCTACGCTAGGCTGGTGCCAATTTCCCCCTACCCCAGGGTTCCATCGCTCCCCCAGGGGAAGGGTACTGGGGAGGTCCCTAGCACACCCACAGGCTACCTTAGCCTGGTGCCAATTTCCCCCTACCGCGGGTCCCGACTGTGCAGTACACGTTCCCGGACTCTCCAGACGACCCTGAACCCGTGACGGGGTTCCAGCTTAAATCCCCCAGGGGGACATGACGTCACCGTCCCGCCCCCTGTGCTTGACGTCACCATCCGTGACATCATCGTACCAGAGGGCAAGCGTGACATGACGTCACTAACTCCTACTCTACACTTGTAATGCTGCGCTGCTGCACGGTATCCACTCACTCTGGAAAAGAGAAAGAGGACGACTCGGAGGCGACAGGAGGGGGACTAACTACAAACGACAGAGCGGGAAGTCAGCAGCAGCAGCCATCTGATGAGCCAGCGCTACCAATAATTGCCCAAGCTCTGCAGTCCTCTATGTATGAAGGTGTTATCGGCCAATTAATGAGCGTTTACATGTGAGAGGAAATTAGAGCACCTGAGGGAGAAACACCCGATCCCATACAGACGGAACAGGTGGAGTCCACATTTGCTGCACCGCCTTCTGGCAAGCCAGGATATGACTCCTTCTTGATGCCCATGAGAAGGGAGTTTGACAAGATTCGTGTGATCCACCAACCCTCACTGCTGCCTCCACAATGCTGGATTACAGGCCCCATGCATAGCCACCAAAGTCCAGCTAAAATTTTCAGTCAACGATGAGTACGTATCAATGGACGAAAATCTCGATTTAAAGCTTTCGTGACTGCAAGGATTCATCTTCTTTGGTTCTTTCGGTAAAGTCACGTAGAATGAGAATAACATAATAAAATAACACAATAAAATTCTCACGACGTTTCGGCCACAACGCAAGCGGCCGTCTTCAGGTGAAAGGAACAGACCTGTCGGGACGACAGAGCTTCAATGAACGATTTTAAGATTCGTAGCGACTTTTAAGCTGGTTGGGAGAAGTGAGGCATCTTGACAAAGGGGTTTACATATCAAATAGCTGAGGGATTAGCTTGTGACTGGTCACAGAAATGGCTATGTTAAAGTCAAAACCTACACATCCACAGAGGCAACTAGTAATTTAGCATTGAAATAGCTAAGGGATTAGCTTGTGCAAATAGCTGAGGGATTAGCTTGTGACTGGTCACAGAAATGGCTATGTAGGTTTTGACTTTAACATAGCCATTTCTTAACATTGTTCATTGAAGCTCTGTCGTCCCGACAGGTCTGTTCCTTTCACCTGAAGATGGCCGCTTGCATTGTGGCCGAAACGTCGTGAGAATTTTATTGTGTTATTTTATTATTTTATTCTCATTCTACGTGACTTTACCAAAAGAACCAAAGAAGATGGACGAAAATCATTAAGCGGGACGATGACTGTGACCACCGCAGTTCAAAGTGCGGCTGACTTGACGAGACAAAATTAACGAGGCTGAATGAGACGGAGACTGAGATCACTCTGGAAGCATTACTGGTGACTGCAGTGCACTGAAAAATGCCGGAAGTGGTAATTGTCTATAAATGTAAATCAAAATATTTACAGAGTTCACCGATGTTCAGCTACAGGTGTTTTTTTAAATACGTGATCAATGAAATGTAAAGCTAAATCAAAGTAAAAAAATAAGAAAACATTTTAATCTCGACACATAATTGATGGTAACACACATAGTATCACAGTGACGCTATGGCTTTAGTTGCCAAATTACAGAATAGGCTGTATCGCAGTGCTGCAGGAGTGCGTTTCAACTGTTTCAAAGCAGTTTCAAACTTTGGGGGCTTCTCAAGAATCAAGTCCTGGCACTGGACATATCCCATGGTGCCCCTGTACGGAGTTCCAAACCCTTGCTTCTACAAAACGATGAGGAAGCCAATCACAGCAGGGGAATGCAGCGTTCAGACTGGAAACAAAGAGTGGTAACAGCAGCACTCGGCAGTGTCCTGCTGCTCACACACGGCAGGAAGGCTCTACTCACATTTGTGTGCCTTCTGTGCACGCCCAGCGGTCACCGCACTGCACGGTACAATTTAGTTTGTTGTCCTTGCCCCGCACCTCCGATTAGCACGGTTGGCTACGTATGGCGCGAAAGAAGTTCAACATCAATACAATACTCTCAGCCTTGCCCAGAGCACCAACTCAAGAGCTGAATGTGTGGCCGTATTATCATTTGCACCACCAGCTCGGTCCTCACATCGTTACCCCCCCCACCTCCCCCTTTGTCTTCCTACCAGCGGTGAGCTCCGTGGCCCTGGTGGCGGTTGCGACCGCACTCTGGGCCATTCTCCTCGCCTGAGTCGCACGGCCCTAAGGGACCACGGGCGGCACCAGGGGTGGTGGGGAGGGGGGGGAGCAGGCCCCAGGACTTCTGCTTGGTGCAGTGACACCATCCAGCTGGGGAGTAGGGTTTGATCTGTACGAAGTGTTGTCCGCTCGTGGATCTGGGTTGAGGCTACGACATCCATCCTAGGTTTTCGTAGCGCGTGCAGGGGGAATTCATGGAGTGACTAAAATGTGATGGCAGTTGCTTCACTATAATCAGAGCTTTCACACATATTGTCCCACAGACTCACGTAGAGACCCGCAGACTCACATAGAGACCCACAGACTCACATAGAGACCCACAGACTCGCATAGAGACCCACAGACTCGCATAGAGACCCACAGACTCACATAGAGACCCAGAGACTGTCAATGACTGATGCTCGTGTGGCCGAGGGTCAGACCATCGCCCGTGGAACCTCTCATCTCACGAGCTTTCGCCACACACTGCTACGGGCATCTTCAGAGGAGCTGAACGCCTGAACATAAACTCCTTAAGGTGCACGTACAATATGTGTGTATGTTCAACTTCTTTCGCACCGTACGTAGCCAATTACGATAATTATCAGAGGTGCGGAGGAAGGACAACAAACTAAACACAAAAATCAGTTCTGAAGAAATTAGTTTTCAATCTAAATGATTTAAAAGTGCATAGCTCCAGTGGCTTCCTAATATAGGAAGGAAGAGCGTTCCAGACGGCCATAAAAGCGCATCTGAAAGCACACGATGCAGTAACCATATTTAATTGATGGCTAGCCAAAAGCTGCTGCTGCGAGGATGACCGGAGTTTGTGCGATGAAAATGTATGCTCCTTGACGAAATCAACAGGTTATTGTGATTCATTTGTGGCCTCGCATTTTGTGTGTAATGAGCGCGACCTTATAGATGCCAGGAGGTACTGCGTGGCAAAGCCCTAGGGACTCGTCGACTCACGAGGGGAGAGGGCGTAGCACGGGAGTAAAAATGTTTCAGGCCTAGTTTACAACCTTCTCAACCTTGGGCTGTGAGCCGCGACCGACTGATCGCGAACGCGTGGCCGCGTCTCTGTTGGACGCGAGCACCGTGGGGTTCTGCGTGGGTCTCCTTCCCCTCCCTCCTCCGAAGCTTCCAGCCAGAGTTGCCGCCTGTCCTGGTTTTTTCCCAGGATCGTTCTCCCGTCGAGGTAGCTGTCCTGGGAATCTCTTAAGTCTTCCCGGGTTTTTTTGTCAGTTTCCTAGCAATAATTACACTCCACTCAAGACGGTGCATTTAGAGGTAAGCCTGTATATTTTGAGTTTGCGTGTTCTCCCACGTGGTCGCGTGGATTTTTCTCCGGGTCCTCCAGTTTTTCCCTCTACATTTCTAATCAGCGTGCGTTTAAAAGTATTTGGGTACTATAACCGCTTCTGAAAAAGAGCTATGTAGCTCAGTGGACGTTATCTGATAAAATAAAAAGTTTCGTTTTATTCCACCCATGATAAGTCCAGGCTTTGTTTTTGTGCCTGAGAGGCAACAACCGTACCCCCAGCACCCACGAGCATCTCCATCGCAACCAACCGAGTTTCACCGTTTCTGAGTCTGTCCCTCGTAGCTCTGTGGCAACCCCTTTCCACCAGAAGGAACCAGGGACCCACCCTGGTGATGACGGAGCTCTCTTTAACCTTTGACCCAGTTGAGAAAAAAAATCCTGACCAAATTTTAATTTTGCACTCTGCTAATCTTCTGGGTATTTAGAAACATCTCTGAATTATCTTTCCCCCGTTTCGCTCCTTCAATTTTGTATCGCAGCCGAGAGTCGAGATGCGTTTTGTGAAGTGAAATGTGGTTAAGACGTGGGAAGGGGGGGTAAAAATGAAGTATTTTTGGGGGGTGGGGGGGGCGGAACGTCAACTGCGAGGGGGCGACTGCCTTAGCCGGGCACCCCCCTCCCAGCAAACCCCATTCCATGAGCCCCCCCCCCCAACCCACCACGGTTACAGTGCTCCCATAACTTGCCAAAGCGTCCCCACGCACTATGGACGCAGCACTGCCGGCTCTGACCCGGACCTCCATTCCAGTTGGTGTAGTTGTTGTGACATTGTAGTTGGTGTTGTGACAGGTTGTTGTTGTGACAGGTTGTTGCGATAGGTTGTTGTGTCAGGTTGTTGTTACATTTTCACTTAAAACTTTCGTGACTATGGTTCTTTCGGTAAAGTCACGTAGATAGAAGAAAAATAATAACAATAAAATTATAAAAATGAAAATAAAGGGAATAAAAAATAATGAAATATCACGACGTTTCGATCGCTTGTGTTGCGATCGAAACGTCGTGATATTTCATTATTTTGTATTCCCTTTATTGTTATTATTTTTCTATCTACTTGACTTTACCGAAAGAACCATAGAATATGTTGTTGTTGTTGTTGTTCTTTTGCTGTGGGCCCTGATGACTGCACTAAGAGGCTCCCGCCGGCCCTGAAGCACCGCAGAGCTGCTGACGTTGCAACCACAGCGGTGCCACGTGGGGGGCTTAGGGGGTGTGCTGCTGCACGATGGGGCGTCGGGGGAACGAATCTGGCTGCACTGCGCGTCCTCGAGCTAACGTGGGGGTCCATCACACCGCGTGGCGTATAGATAACGGGAGGTTTTAAGGTGGGGGCGGACCCATACAAATATGAAAGTAATTGGAATAAGTTGAAAGTTGCTTCCCTGACAACTCGAATATTGAATAGCGTGCAAAGCAATGCTGACCTGTTGGTGGCTGCGTCTCCACTCGGCCACCCAGTATACTTGGAACGTTGGCCCGACGTTGGGCCAATGGATCCAAGCACGTGCCAGCCCAATGTCGAATGTTTACTGGGTGGCCACGGGCCAAACCCGGACATATGTCTCAGTCATCACCAGGTCTAATTATTATTATCAGCATTCTGTTGCAGTTTGCTGTAATACAGTTTTACACAATACCGGTACCAGGTCACTGTACAAATAAATTCCTGCCACCCAAACACAGACACCTATTCATGGACCGTACCAGGTAACACCTGGACAGGTGACAACGGGCATCTCCACGTGCAGTCCCAGTTTAGGACTGCACACTGCACCGTGCAGTGACTTGGGTGCAGCACTGACTTGTGTGTCCCAGAATTGTCTCTTTGTAATTTCCAGTGGTCTTACTGGCATTCTTTTCAACTTTTATATTGCTTTTATATTTTAATATCAAATTTAAAAAAGCATACGTAAAAACAATTCAAGCTGTACATGGGGTTTTGTTTAGATGATGGATATTTCACAGGGCAGCATACCCCCGAGTTGGCCCAGTGTTTTTGAGGATGCGCTGTAACTGAATGTAATTAATTTTACTGTTCCTATAAACATTGTAGTCGTAATTATGTTAGCTTTGATCTGCACAAAATCTATGAATAAATCTTATCTGACGGCAACGGTCTTCACTGTATTGATAAAAAACGTGGATGTTGTAAAGTCCTGGCCCATAGTTTCACCCAAGGGTTGATGTTGATAAGCGATCTCCTTCTTGTCGTCCGGCTGCTGCTGATGTAGATGCAGAGTAACAACTATAATGTCACTTTCAGGTGGTGAAGCCAGCAGATAACCACGCCGTGCTTAGCGCGGAGTGTCTCGCTGCGATGTCTCCCTCGGGCATTGCATCGTTATAAGCAGTGAGCTACATAAACAAACAGTGAGCTATATATAAACACTCTCCTTTGTTGTTAAAGCGATGGCTAAAGTGGTTGACACGGGCCCTTGTGCAAGCAAGGACCCGTTGGGCCCTGGTGGAGTAGCATCGCCTACACAACTCAGGGCTCGAAGCCAACAGGTAAAGGACGTCCTTCCAGGTCGCCCAGATTGAGGTCACCTTGACAGTGCAACTGTCATGTCCTTAAATCTACTGTATCACTATGATGTCTTTAAGTCTACTTTATCACTGTGATGTCCTTAAGTCTACTTTATCACTATGATGTCCTTAAGTCTACTGTATCACTTTGATGTCCTTAAATCTACATTATCACTATGATGTCCTTAAGTCTACTGTATCACTATGATGTCCTTAAGTCTACTTTATCACTATGATGTCCTTAAGTCTACTTTATCACTGTGATGTCCTTAAGTCTACTTCATCACCATGATGTCCTAAAGTCTACTTTATCACTTTTATGTCCTTAAGTCTACCTCATCACCATGATGTCCTTAAGTCTACTTCATCACTATGATGTCCTTAAGTCTACTGTATCACTATGATGTCCTTAAGTCTACTTTATCACCATGATGTCCTTAAGTCTACTTTATCACTGTGATGTCCTTAAGTCTACTTCATCACCATGATGTCCTTAAGTCTACTTTATCACTATGATGTCCTTAAGTCTACTGTATCACTATGATGTCCTTAAGTCTACTTTATCACTATGATGTCCTCAAGTCTACTGCATCACTATGATATCCTTCAATCTACTTCATCACTGTGATGTCCTTAAGTCTACTTTATCACTGTGATGTCCTTAAGTCTACAGTATCACTATGATGTCCTTAAGTCTACTTTATCACTGTGATGTCCTTAAGTCTACTTTATCACTATGATGTCCTTAAGTCTACTTTATCACTGTGATGTCCTTAAGTCTACTTTATCACTATGATGTCCTTAAGTCTACTTTATCACTGTGATGTCCTTAAGTCTACTTTATCACTATGATGTCCTTAAGTCTACTTTATCACTTTGATGTCCTTAAGTCTACTTTATCACTATGATGTCCTTAAGTCTACTTTATCACTATGATGTCCTTAAGTCTATTTATCACTATGATGTCCTTAAGTATACTTTATCACTGTGATGTCCTTCAATCTACTTCATCACTGTGATGTCCTTAAGTCTACTTTATCACTGTGATGTCCTTAAGTCTACTTTATCACCATGATGTCCTTAAGTCTACTGTATCACTGTGATGTCCTTAAGTCTACTTTATCACCATGATGTCCTTAAGTCTACTTCATCACTGTGATGCCCTTAAGTCTACTTTATCACTGTGATGTCCTTAAGTCTACTGTATCACTATGATGTCCTTAAGTCTACTTTATCACTATGATGTCCTCAAGTCTACTGTATGACTATGATGTCCTTAAGTCTACTTTATCACTATGATGTCCTTAAGTCTACTGTGTCACTATGATGTCCTTAAGTCTACTTTATCACTATGATGTCCTTCAATCTACTTTATCACTATGATGTCCTTACGTCTACTGTGTCACTATGATGTCCTTAAGTCTACTGTATCACTGTCATGTCCTTAAGTCTACTGTATCACTGTGATGTCCTTAAGTCTACGGTATCACTATGATGTCCTTAAGTCTACTTTATCACCATGATGTCCTTAAGTCTACTGTATCACTGTGATGTCCTTAAGTCTACTTTATCACTATGATGTCCTTAAGTCTACTTTATCACTATGATGTCCTTAAGTCTACTTCATCACTATGATGTCCTTAAGTCTACTTCATCACTATGATGTCCTTAAGTCTACTTTATCACTATGATGTCCTTAAGTCTATTTTATCACTATGATGTCCTTCAATCTACTTTATCACTGTGATGTCCTTAATTCTACTTCATCACTATGATGTCCTTCAATCTACTTCATCACTATGATGTCCTTAAGTCTACTTTATCACTGTGATGTCCTTAAGTCTACTTTATCACTATGATGTCCTTAAGTCTACTTTATCACTATGATGTCCTTCAATCTACTTTATCACTGTGATGTTCTTAAGTCTACTTCATCACTATGATGTCCTTCAATCTACTTCATCACTATGATGTCCTTAAGTCTACTTTATCACTGTGATGTCCTTAAGTCTACTTTATCACTATGATGTCCTTAAGTCTACTTCATCACTATGATGTCCTTAAGTCTACTTCATCACTGTGATGTCCTTCAATCTACTTTATCACTATGATGTCCTTCAATCTACTTCATCACTATGATGTCCTTAAGTCTACTTTATCACTGTGATGTCCTTAAGTCTACTTTATCACTATGATGTCCTTAAGTCTTCTTTAGCACTATGGTGTCCTTAAGTCTACTTTATCACTGTGATGTCCTTAAGTCTACTTTATCACTATGATGTCCTTAAGTCTACTTTAGCACTATGGTGTCCTTAAGTCTACTTTATCACTGTGATGTCCTTTAATCTACTTCATCACTGTGATGTCCTTATGTCTACTTTATCACTGTGATGTCCTTAAGTCTACTTTATCACCATGATGTCCTTAAGTCTACTGTATCACTGTGATGTCCTTAAGTCTACTTTATCACCATGATGTCCTTAAGTCTACTTCATCACTGTGATGCCCTTAAGTCTACTTTATCACTGTGATGTCCTTAAGTCTACTGTATCACTATGATGTCCTTAAGTCTACTTTATCACTATGATGTCCTCAAGTCTACTGTATCACTATGATGTCCTTAAGTCTACTTTATCACTATGATGTCCTTAAGTCTACTTTATCACTGTGATGTCCTTCAATCTACTTCATCACTGTGATGTCCTTAAGTCTACTTTATCACTGTGATGTCCTTAAGTCTACTTTATCACCATGATGTCCTTAAGTCTACTGTATCACTGTGATGTCCTTAAGTCTACTTTATCACTATGATGTCCTTAAGTCTACTTTAGCACTATGGTGTCCTTAAGTCTACTTTATCACTGTGATGTCCTTAAGTCTACTTTATCACTAAGATGTCCTTAAGTCTACTTTATCACTATGATGTCCTTAAGTCTACTTTATCACTGTGATGTCCTTCAATCTACTTCATCACTGTGATGTCCTTATTTCTACTTTATCACTGTGATGTCCTTAAGTCTACTTTATCACCATGATGTCCTCAAGTCTACTGTATCACTATGATGTCCTTAAGTCTACTTTATCACTATGATGTCCTTA